CAATTCTAAGTGAACGTTCTGGGAAGGGTTTTAAATAAACCCGGAATCTAATGGAAACCTTCCACCTTGCTCTGTGTCCTTCAGGCCGAGTTCCAGAAACCTCAAGTCTGAATTTGGAGAAGGCCGGTGTGCGTACAAACCCCGTCACTGGGAAGATCCTTGTTGATGCCCAGGAAGCCACCTCTGTCCCCCACATCTACGCCATCGGCGACGTGGCAGAGGTACAGCCAGCGCCCACTGCTCCTTGTCCCTCTGACCCTGGCCACCTCGTCAGCCCACTGCTGTGGACGAGGCTCACGCATGCTCGGCGCCCTGGGACCTGGCTGCTTAGGCGGTCCTGTGTGTTAATCAGAACGTGTGTGTGTGCCCAGTTGCTAAGCCGTGTCCGACTCTTTGCGACCCCATGGGCTGCAGCCCGCCAGGTTCCTCTGTCCATTGGATTCCCCAGGCAAGAATACTGGCGTGGGTTGCCACTTTGTCCTCCAGATCTTCCTGACCTGGGGACTAAACCTGTGCCTCCTGCATCTCCTGCATTGGCAGGCGGGTTCTTTACCGCTGAGCCACCTGGGAAGACCGTTACTTAAGACAGTCACGACTAAAGTCCCTCTGAGCAGTCAGAAGCGCTCACCCCCAGGGCTCGGCTGTGGTTCGGGGAGACGTGTGTGCTGTGTGGGCCACGTGTACATTGGTCAGGCTGGTGGGGTGCTCTCTCGTTGCCAATCCCTGTCATTTCCAGAATGTCGGACATCGGCGTTTCCTGCTGCTGTGGGGGATTAGCCCCTAGTCTCAGGCTGACACGCATGGGGACACGGGGCTGTGCCAGCTCTGCTCCCTGGCAGGACACCCGGGGCAGGGGCCTCCGCAGAACGCGGTCCGATCCAGGCTCTGTCTTGGGCTCGGCGTGCTGGACCAGCTGCGTGTCGGGGCCCTCGGGTGCTCCTTGGGCCTGTCTTAGCCCGAACCCCAGTCAATGGGAACTAGTGAATGGCGGCGGGTCTCGCTTGGGCTTTGCTGTGGGAACACTCTCCAAGAGCACTGGCATGAAGCAGGGCCCTGAGAGAAACCCCCCGTGGATGTGGGAGGTGCCGCTGGTGTGGCCAGCGTGGCTGGCATGGCTGGGCTCGATAGCAGCCCACCCCCTCTTCCAGGGAGACTGGCAGCTCTCTAGGGTGCGACGGAGGGGAGCACGCGAGAGCAGGAGGCAACCCGCATCTGGGGGTCTCTGGAAGGCAGAGGCCCCACTGCGAAGGCAGCGCCCCCACCGTGGGCCAAGCTGTAGTAACCCATGCTCCCTGCTTCCAGGGGCGGCCAGAGCTGACGCCCACGGCCATCATGGCCGGGAGGCTCCTGGCCCAGCGGCTGAGCGGCCGGACCTCAGACCTGATGGACTACGACAACGTGAGTGCCTCTGCTCTCCAGAGCCATGTCTAGCCTGTGTGAGGCTGCAGCTCGTCCTGGGGGCTTGTATGTGTGTGTGCGCGTGTGCGTGTGCGCAAGCGTGCACATGTGACTGGACACTCTTGGTGTCCCTGGGGGATCTTTGCCCTGGACCCCCGGGGGTCTGCCTGATGGGGGCCTGCCCTCCAGGTCCCCACGACCGTCTTCACCCCCCTGGAGTATGGCTGCGTGGGGCTGTCAGAGGAGGCGGCTGTGGCTCGCCATGGAGAGGAGCACGTGGAGGTGAGTCTGGGCCCCCGGGGGGGGGTAGCATGCAGACTTGTGTGGCCCCCACCCCAATGATGGCTGCCCTCACAGAGGCCGGAGGGCCAGCGGGAATATTGGAGCCTTGCTTCCCAGGGCCTGAGGCTCAGCAGGGCAGCATGGGGCCCCGCGTGATGGCTGCGACGGGCTGGGGGTGTCAGCAGGCATGGCAGGGACCGGGGGCCTTGGAGCAGTGGCCCTCTCAGTGGCGAGCGTGTCTACCACTGTCTGGAAAGTCTCCTCCTGCCCTCTACCCGCCTCCCCCCCGCCCTCCTGCCCACTTCTGGTCCTCACGGGCCTCTGCCAGCCCAGTGTGGGCGTCACCCCGGAGGAGGGCTTGGTCACCAGACGGGTGCCTCTGGGGTCTGCTTTGGCCGCAGCGCGTGCCCCGAGGAGCTTGCAGGTGGGCCGGGAGGCACCAGACCCCACGAGGCCACCAGTGCGGCCGGCTTCCCTCTGGGAGGGAGCCCTGGGCTCCAGGGCCTGCCCCGTCCTCCATCAACTGTGCTTTATTTGCTATTTTTGTTTAATTCATCACAAGGGCCCTGGGACATGTGTCCGTGGCATTCCGTGATGTTGTTTTATGTTTCACAATGTTGAATGGCCAAATGCCCTTTGTTTGTTTTCTTTTCAATTCTGTCTCCGTTAGAACAATATTCTCTGAAGCTGCATTAATTAATAATGGCTGTGCAGCACATGTGAGCACCTTGCTCATTTTTTACGCGACCACAGCCCTGACCACGGTGTCGGCCCTTCTCGGGCGCTGAAAGCCTTTGTCCCGCAGTCGGTGGGGGCTGTGGTTGCCCCCCCGCTGGCTGGAGTGAGGGCCTGGAGAGCACTGGGGGCTGGGGAAACGGGACAGGCAGCTGGGCCCCCTCCAGCGCCCAGTCTGGGCAGTGTCCGCCTAGGTGGTGCCAGGGCCTGCTCTGAGCCCCGGGCTCTGGGGCAGGTCAGAGGGCAGCCTGCCTCACTGCAGCAGTTCTCCAGAGTCTCGGGCCTGCTGGGAGACGGTCTGTCCACAGGCTGCCGTGCCCAGGGGGGCGGGCGCCTGCAGGCCAGCGGGGCCTTGTCCTCAGCCCAGATCACAGCCTGCAGGCCCAGTGGGTGGTTGTGGCTCCCCCACCGCGCCCACAGCCTGACCCACTCGAGGAGGCCCTGGGGCTTGCTGTGCTGCAGTCAGTGACCCGGGAATCCGTGTCTTGCCGCCCAGGTTTACCACGCGTTCTATAAGCCACTGGAGTTCACGGTCCCCCAGCGGGATGCATCTCAGTGCTACATAAAGGTGAGCATCCCCCCGGGGGCCTGGGCGCACAGGCCCCGCCGCCCCCACCGACCATGTGCCTTTCAGATGGTGTGTCTGCGGGAGCCCCCTCAGCTGGTGCTGGGCCTGCACTTCCTTGGCCCCAACGCAGGCGAAGTTACTCAGGGATTTGCCCTGGGGATCAAGTGAGTCCGCAGGAATGTCGGCCGATACGCCACTCGCAGGCCGCTCGGCTGTTGAGTCTGCTGCTTCAGACCGCTTGTCTGTGGGGTGGTGTTTTCAGAGAGTGTCCACCCGACGGGGCAGGTCCAGTCACCCAAAGCGTGGCCATGTTCATCTCTAGGACAGGCTTGTGGTCCTCGACCAGCCAAGGGGTCCCTGTGGGTCTTCTCTGCTCAGAATGAGTGCCCAGGCGGTCGGGAGCAGCTTGGCATCGCATGTACTGGGAGGGCCGCCCGGCGAGCACATGTCCCCTGGAGCCAGCACCGGATGCAGGCTGTGCATGGCGGGGTCCCAGGGCCCGTGCTGTGGCCGCTCCTTCGGGGCTGGGTTTCTGGGAGTGAAGGGGCTGGGCAGTTGGCAAGGGCTTTCAGACACAGGAGGGCAGAGGGGAGCGGGCTGGACTCACTTAGGGCCATGTGCGCCTGGGGGCAGCAGGGGGCCTGGCCGGGCGGGTGGGAGGTGGAGTTGCTAGGTGTTCCTGGCTGCCGGCTGGAGAAGAGGGTGGGAGCCGGGGCTGGAGGGCAGTGAGGAGACTGACTTCCAGGCCTCCCCCAAGTCCTGCCATCAGAGACTTCTCGGCAGTGGTGGGGGGTGGTGGGGGCAAACATGCCTCCCTGGACTAACTCATCCCCCACCCCCATCCCGCCGTGCAGGTGTGGGGCCTCCTACCCGCAGGTGATGCGGACAGTGGGCATCCACCCCACCTGTGCGGAGGAGGTGGCCAAGCTCCGCATCTCCAAGCGCTCCGGCCTGGACCCCACAGTGACCGGCTGCTGAGGCTAGGCGGCCATCCACAGCCCGGGTGCTCGGCCCACTGCTGCCCCGGTGACCAGGTGTGCGTGCGGGGCTGGTCCTGTGTTTGAGGGGGGCTGGGTGCACCGCCCACTGCTCTCCAGCTGCAGGTGACCCCAGAGAAACAGCTGAGAAGGGAGGGAGGCCACTCCAGACCCCGGCCGGGCTGCTGACGAGCAGGGGTGTCTGGAGGCCAGGTGCACCCACAGCACCTATTCTGGGGGGTGGGGTGGGGACACAGGGTGGGGAAACTCAGTGATCTCCCTCCTGCCTGCCCAGCCCAGAGCCACCAGGTCCTTTCCCTCTGCTCAGAAAGTGGACACACAGTCTCGTTCTGTTAGGCTTGGCAAAGCCACCAGGTAGGCGGCTGGAAGCCCTGGTGTGCCATTGGTCCTGAGCCTCTTCTTGAGGAAACCCCTCCTTGCCCCTGGTCAACGGGGTGCCTGTGGTCTGGGCCTTTCCACCTGTCAGCCGGAGGGGCTTCCCCCGGCCTTCACCTCCTCCTGGGTTGGGGTCCCCAGGGCCCCGGGGGGCTGTGGACAGAGCAGTGAGTGCCCATAAGATGCTCGCAGGCCAAAGGTTAGTGGGCCAGGCCCTGGCCTCTCCTGGGCATTCAGACACTAGTGCCTTCACAAAGCCCTATGACAGCTTCTGAGGAGCCTCATCAGCTCGGCATTTCTAACAACGATGCCCCACCTGATCGGGAAGGGCCGCCCTCGCCTGCTCTCTCATCCGACCCCCCAGGGGCCCTTCGTGTGGGGTGGGGTGTGGGGACGTGGGCTGCCCCACACTGACCCCCACCTTGGGCAGGACACTGGACTGACGCCCGAGCGCCCGGCAAGGATGGCCCAGGCCGGCACCGCACACCCCGGACCCTGCCAGATGATGAGGACCTGTGCGGAAACCCCCTGCGGGCTGCCCATGTCTGAGCCCCTGGCATTACCTGGCGTAAATAAAGAGGCTGTTTTCCGGAAGCATGCCCGGCCTGTGATGTCTTCCACAGGCCCACCTCCCCGCCGTGGGCTCAGGGGTGGCGGCGTGTGGATGGGGGCAGTGGGCTGCTGGGATGGGGGACGGCGGGGTCGGGGGTCCCCAGCCGGTGGGGTGGGGGAGGGTGGGGTCGGAGGCCCCCAGCAGCCCTGCCACGGGGGACCTCGCCCCCCTCCTGGGAACACGGGCTCTGTGCAGAGCCACCCGCCAGCGGCGTGGCCGGTGACAGGCGGTGGCCGGCGCTGAAGCCCCGTCCCCCGATCGGCTCGCTCCCCTAGGGCCCCAGCCAGCTTGTCGGCTGGGCTCAGGCTTAATCCCGCGCACGGAGGCCGACGGGGAGCGAGGCCCCCGGCACCTGTCAGTCAGGCGGAGAGACGGCGCTGACAGGCCAGGCAGGGCCCTGCATTGTGCTGGGGCTTTAGCAGCGGTTAATCTCGTGTCTTCCCTAAGAAAACATCATTCAGTCTGCCGCCCGGGAGCCCTGGGTGGGACCCTGCTTGTAGCGAACAAAGGAATGTCTTTGCGCCTGGATGGGCTCGCGTGAAGCGCGCGCGACCGCCTTAGACACCCGAGCGAGACGCCGAGGGCCGGGTCTCCAGCTAGAGTAGCCGACCGTTTAACGCCCGGCGGGCGGTGCCGTGGGAGGGGCCCCGACGGTGGGCGGGGCCTCCGCCGCCTCGGGGTTGGCGGGGCCCTGGGCGCCGGGCTGACCGCGTGGGGCCGGCGAGGCACGCAGGCGGCCTCACCGCTTCCAGTGACTCCGCGTGACGCAGCCGGGCGGCCGCCTCACCTCGATACCCCGCAGGCCCTTTCCCCAGCTGGGCGGCCTTGCTCCAGCTGTGCCTGTGGCACCCTCGTCCGGGCAGGTTGGCGTGGTTGGTGTGGCCGTGGAGGACAGAGCAGAGCCCCCCACGGTGCTCGGGCCAACCCTGGGGCGCCGCCTGTTGGAGGCCCCTCCCCAGCGCGGGGCTGAGCTGCGCCCCCGCCCCCCAGCGCGGTCACGGGCGGGGGCCTAGCCCCTTAGCAAGCCGCAGGGCCGCAGTGGGCCTGGCCCCATCCCAGTGCACCCTGCCCTGGGGGCTCCAGCGGGGCAGGCCTCGTGGACCCAGGCCCCCCTGCCCGCGCCCCGCGTTCGCGGAGGCTCCCACGTGCTCTCTGGTCTCACACCTGAGCTGGGCCGCAGGGGGTCCTGTCCTGGGCATCCATCAGGCCTGCCTGGCTCCAAAGTTGCTCCCCGGCCCGGCCCAGCCCCCACCCCTCCCCACGGAGGGCGCAGGGAGGGGCCAGAACCCCACAAGCCAGGTGCTCTCCGCCTGGGCCCAGGGCCGCCTCCTGCGCCTTGGCATGTTTTTATGGTGCAATGAAAATATGACTTTAATTCCTCGGTTGTTTCATGTAACCTACAATTACCCCCAGGACGTCCTGCTCTCCTCCCCTTATGGCTGCAGGTTGTGCAGGGATGTGAGGCGAGCTGCCAATGCTGGGGCCAGCCCACCCCTCCCCCGCCTCACCCTCCCACCACCCGGACTCCTCCAGCCCTCGGGGGTGCTGTCCCCAAGGCCCTGGGCCCGCCGGGGAGGTGGATAATAAGACATGAGAGTGACCTGTCCCCCAGGGCTGTGCTGAGGACTCACAACCTCTGCATCCCACAGCCGTGCTGGGACCCCCAGCATCCCTGGGTGGGTAGCAGGGAGCACCCACCCCACACGTGCTTCAGCCATGCTTTCCTGTGGCTGGAGGCCTGGCTGAACAGGTACCCGCCAGGCATGTCCAGAGTCCCTCCAGACGCAGACATCCTGTGACAACAGCTGGCATCAGGCAGCACCTACAGGTCAGGGTGTGTGGCCACACACCAGGCGGCAGCTCAGAGACGTGGGTGATGCCCTGGCCTGAAGCAGGCACCCGCACTGGGCCCGAGACCCTCACCCACTGCTCGTCACCTGACGCGGAGCTGCCAGACGGCCCTGGGCCCTGCAAGAGGGACTCGTGAGTTGGCTGAGCAGCGTGCTCATCCAGAGGCCAGGCTGCCAGGCCATGTGACTGAGCCTTGCAGACCCTGCTCAGGCTCCTGGCGCCCTGCTCCAGTCAGGGCCCAACCTGCTCACGTCCCTCTCAGAAGCATCCGATCCTTAACGAGCTCTCCACGAGAAGCTCCCGCCAGGTCAGGGGCTGTCCCCACCTGTCCCTGAGCCCCCTGGAAGCCACTTCCCTCCCCTGCCTGGCCCAGGGTCCCTGGATGGCCTCACCTGGGCCTGTGCCCACTGGTCCCACTCAGCGCACCCTTGGGTCCAGGTCACTGCCAGAAACAGGTCGGGAGGTGCCTCCACCCTGGCAAGCAGGCCAGCAGGATGTCTGGGCCCGAGGTGACTGAACCCTGACAGCCCCATGAGTGTCCCTGTCCTGCCCCCACCATAGCGCTGAGGTCCCACGGCACGCCATGCCACTGGCCCGGCCCCGTCAGGAGGCATCTCTGCTTGAACCAATGCCCCATCCCCATGGCCATGGACCGCACCCCTTGGACCTGATCTCCTGCAGTGCCTGGGGACCGAGAGAACAGCAGTGTGCGGCCTGCCCCCAAGGGTGCAGGGTCCTCCTCCTGCTGACCCGTCAGGTCTCTGGAGCAACCTCTGTGGTTGCTCTGGTAGGAAGGAGACCGCGAGGTGCCCGGCCTCAGGACAGGTGGGCCACAGCCTTCAGACCTGGGTCTGACGTCTGTCAGGGAGCACAGCGGGTCCGCCCCCTGCAGACCCCCCGTCTCCCCATCTTCCCTCCCCCGGCCCACTCCTCCGTCGCCAGCCCCTGGAGGGCTCTCAGGTTTCCCAGCGTGCCCCAAGGGCTCTGGAAGCTCTGCATGCCCTGGGCCCCAGCCAAGCACCTGTGCCTCCCTGGGGCCAGCAGAGCCTCTTAGCGCTGAGCCTGCCTAATCCCTTACGGTGCTCGGGTGTCCCTGATCCCAAAGACCAAGCTGGGATCCCAGCACTGTCGAACCGGCAGCAGGAGGACCCCCACCTCCCTCCATGTGCCTGTTGTCTGGAGCCAACTCCCGGTGGGATCAGGGCACCTGCAGGGTGAAGACCCAACCCTAACGAACTCAGGTGAACTCAGGAACCGTGGAGCCCTCGCTGCCTGGTGCGTCCTGCCCCATCCATTCCTCAGGCTGCCCAGTGGTGACAGCAGAAGCAAACAGGAGAGGGAAGCCTGTCTCAGGCTTCCCAGTTGGCGCAAAGGTAAAGACCTCACCTGCCAGTGCAGGAGACTCAGGAGGTGCGGGTTCAATCCCCAGGTCGGGAAGATCTCCTGGAGGAGGGAATGACAACCCCCTCCAGTATTCTTGCCTGGAGAATCCCATGGACAGAGGAGCCTGGTGGGCTAGAGTCCCTGGGGTCACAGAGTCGGACACGACTGAGCATGCACAGGCCTGTTTCAAGCCTCGAGGCTCTGGCTCTAGGGTTTCATGGGAAGGTAATCCTGCCTTGCAATTCCACAAGATTATGTTTGTTGGTTTCTTTTTCCCCTAATAAAATCAGGATCTTTATGGCATAAAACTGATGATCAAGTAACACCAAAAGCTTGGGAATAAAGTGGGACCAAGAACAAGAGGCTCTATGGCCTCGCTACGTAGCAGCTGGTGGTCAGGAGCCCGCGGGCCCCACTCTCTGCCCCAGCTGCCAGTCACTGACCCAGCAAGGGCTCCAGGCACTGGGCATGCCCTCCATGGGCCCTGTTTCATAGTGATGTTAGCGAGAGAGGCAGCCCGTGACTGTGAGCATGGCGAAGAGGCCCTGGTGCTCTTCGTGTCTTTGAAGACTTTTTCACACCCGAAAGTTTCCCCAAGCAGACCTAAGTTGCTCCTGAGGTCCCAGCATGGTGGAGATGTGGGACAGAACAGGAAGCAGTCAAGCAAGACCTGGACGCATTTCCTTCGGGCTCTACCAGACAAGACAGACCGATGAGCAGACCTCCCCTGGGCAAAAGCACTGAGGGGCGCATAGGTACAGCCAGGCCCCTGCCTGTGGGAGAGGGTGGACAGGAGGCGAGTCCTCCGCACAGCCTCAAAGGTGCATTGTCCTGCCCCGGTGGCTGAAATCGGGCCAGGTGATGGTAATAATAATGTCCTGATGCTCAGCCAGCGGTCGGGTTTCCATAGCTCAGGGAGTATCTGGTTTTCAAAGGGGAAACGTCATACAAGTGCAGTGTTGTTCCCGTAAGCCATTCTCTGCAGGTCAGAGGCCCGCCTGGCGCCTGCCTCCTCCCAGAGACGCGTGCCCATCAGCGCCTGGGCACGTCAGGGGAGGAGCTGCACCGGGATGCCCTCCCATCCACCCTCCAGGGCCACCAGTACCAGGTCCTACTGTGGCCTGGAGCCTCTGCCCAGCCGTGCGTATCCCTGCTTCCCAGCTGCCCTGGCTCTGGGGAGCCACAGACCTGACACCAACTGAACACATGAGGCTGACCACTGCCTCTGGGCCTCCCAGTCCAAACACACACCCAGCTCCAATGAGCACAGGAAAAGATGCTCAAAATCGCTGGTCACTAGGGAAATGTAAATCAAAACCACAAGGTCCCATTAGGCCAACTATAATTTAAAAAAAAAAAATAGGTGTGAAGATGCAGAGAAACTGGAACCCTTGTGCACCATTGGTGGGAATGAAAAATCATGCACCACTGTAGCAAAGTTTAGCAGTTCCTCAAAAAGTTAGACATAGCATTACCACGTGACCCAGCAATTCGACTCCTTGGCATACACCCTAAAGAAATGAAAACAGATAATAAAAATAAATGAAAAAAAAAAAAAGAAACCAATACAAAAAAAAAAGAACTGAAAATTACAGGGACTCAAACAAATATTTGTATACCCACATTCACAACAGCATCAGCCGCAACAGCCAAAAGATGGGAGGAACACGAGTGTCTACCAACAGATGAATGTATAAACAAAATGTTTTATACACGTACGAAGGAATACCATCCAGCCCTAAAAAGGAACAAAAATTCTGATAGGTGCCACACAACGGATGAACCTTTAGAACATTCTTCTAAGTGACATGACAAATACGTGAGACCACTTACATGAGATACCTAGAAGAGGTAAACTAACACAAAGTAGAATTGAGATTCCCAGGGGCTTGGGGCGTGTTTAACGGGGACAGAGTGCCCATTTGGGGTGATGCAAAAGTCCTGGAGGTGATGGTGATGAAGTTTGCCTAACAATATGAATGTACTTAATGCTACTGAATGTATACTTAGAAATAGTCATGATAAATGTTAATTATTACATTTTACCACAATTAAAAATACATATACATAGATGACCTGAACAACAAAAAAGCGTTCTGGACCCAAGAATGTGTTTTCTGACTGCATGGCCCAGCTGGACGAGTGCCCTGTACAAAGCCAGCTGCCCACTCTCTCCACTGACCTCCCTGAGCTGCCAAACTGTCGGGAACTCCCCCTCTCCTCTGAAGCAGGAAGTTTAAATTATCAGGTCAATTAGGAAAGACACAACCGAAAAATACAAGTTTCATTCACACTTCCAGGAGGCGTTTCCTGGCTGGGTGCCACCTCTATTATTTTTGGCGAGGCTGTTGAAAGGCCCACAGACCCTGAGAAGGTACAATATAACCTTTGATTCCGTTTCAAGGATCAAAGCAAGTAAGCTTGGGTGCAAACGCAGATAACATTTCAGGGACGGTCTCATGAAAGGAGTCGCTAGACCAGGGCAGAGAGGGGGCTCGTGTGACACCACTCCCGGTGACCTCGGCCCTGGTAACCCGCCCGCGCGGGGCGGCCCCGGGGAGTCCACTCGGAGGGCGCCAGCGGCCCCCGCAGCTGCGCTCTCGGGGTCCGCGCCGGCTCCCCCCGGCTCGCCCACGGCGGACAGTCCTCGGACAGCCCCGCCCTGTCGCTCCGGGGCGCAGGTCTGCGCTCGGCCCTAGTCGGGCCTCCACGACGGGCACTCTGCGGACACGCCGTCCAGCGGGGGGGCGACGCAGCCCTTCTGTGCCAACCCTCCCGGTACCCCTCCTGGCGCTCGGCAGGAACTGAGGGTAAGGGCCGCGCCCTCAGCCGGCGGAGGCCGGGGGCGCCACGACCCCTCAGCAGCGAGCCAGCCCTCAGCCCCGCGACTCCCACAACGCCCGACACAGCCCCGGCTGCGCCTGCGCACGCGGCCCCAGCGCGCGGCGATCCGCGGGGCTCAAGGCAGAGCGCGCTCCCATCAACCCCCGCGCCGCATCGCCCGTGGGCGGGGCCGGAAGCGCCTGCGCGTTCGCAGCCCCCGGGCGCAAGGCGCAGGCGCGGGCGCCTCCGGAAGACCGGCGTGGGGCGTGGCCGCGCCCGGCGTGGGGCCGTAAGGGGCGGCCGCGCGCACGCAGGGGGCGGGGCCCACGTCGCGGCGTGGCCGGCAGCCTGGCCGCTTGGGTCTGCGATCCTCAGAGCTTCGGCAGGCGGGGTCCACGTCCTTCCTTCTCTCCCGACCTCGGCCCGCGCCGTGCCGGACCTGGCCTCGCGCGGCCGGTCTCTCCCGCTCCGTGCGTGCCGTAGAGGGATCGGCACCGTTGTGGCGCCGCGCGGCCGCAGGCAGGTGGGCTTGGTGCGGCGGCGCGCGATCCGGGGGAGGGCCGGGCGGGCTGGGCACCCGGCTCCCTCAGGTGGCGCGGGCGGGCGGAGCGGGCCGGGGCGCGGCCGCTGCCTCCCCTCGCCTCGCGGGGCCGGGGCCGGAGTGCTCCGTGGGCAGCGCGTTGTCAACGGCCGGTGGGACTCTGGGCTGCTGGGCAGGGCCGTGCGCGGCGTTCACCTGTCGCCTGCGGCCTCTGTCGCCCGAGCGTGTCATTGTCGGGGTGGGACGGGCCTTTGGGTGGAAGACCTCCTACCCCAACACGCACACACAGAGGAGTGGGTGCGGAGGGAGGTATCGGGGGCCACCCTGGGGTGCGGGGCGGAAGGACCTACATGCCGTGCCCCCTAGAGGAGCTCTGGCAGATGGGGGACAGATGGTCCCGCGGGGAGCCGTCCCGAAGGTGAGTGCAGGCCGGCGTCTGTGGGCGACAGGTGGAGGGAGCGGGTGTGGAGCCTTGTTGGCGAAACCGCCCCCACAGGGGTGAAGCGAGGCACGCTGTGCCGACCACCGGTGGGCGTCCTTTTGCAAGGAGACTGGGGCGGGGTTAGCCGTTAGGCGGGCTCGCTGCATCTGATGGGAACCGCCCCTTTTTCTCTGCTCTGTGCTTCTTTGGCCCGCTCTAGCTGGTGGCCCTTTGCGTGGTGACCTTGGGGTGGTGAGAGTAGACACAGCAAGTGGAATTAAAGCTGTCGGCCAGGAGGGGCTGGATGCCAGGCTGTTGACAGGGAGGGGGATGCAGGGAGGAGGCCCTTGGGGTGGGGGTGGCTGCCTTGTGAGTAGGGACAGGGGTCTGCACGGGGGTGGGGGTGGGCTGGAGGGCACGTTGGTAACAGCTGCAATGCTCTTGGGGTCTCGTGACACTGAGCACCTGAGTGCGGGACTGTGACGTGTCATGGGTGACTGGGGGGTGATGAGTGCTGGAGCAGGCCAGGGTGGTCTCAGGCCAGGGTCAGCTGTATCTTCACTTAGTGGTTGGCATTTGGCCGCAGACAAGTGACTTCACTCACCCCCGCACCTCAGGCACGGCGAGAGGACTGGCCTCGGCGGGTCAGTGTTCACTGTGAATAGAGCCCCCCGTGACCCTCCTCCTGAAATTCCCTGACAGCCATCCAGGCTGTCCGAGGAAGCCCGGGGGGACCTGACCTGGGACCTCCTTCTCCTGGGTGGACATGTCCGCCATCACACCCTGTCCTTGAAGGGGTCAGGCGGTGTTTGCCTGCCTTCTTGGCCTCCCCAATGGGCCTCCAGTTCCCTCACATGGAGAGGTCCGGTGGGGCCCGGGGTCGGCCACCCAGTGGTGATGGTGGGGCCTCCTTCCCACTCCTCCTGCCTTGTTTTTGGACAGATCGCCTTGGATGGTGGCCTGCAGCTTTCGGTCCCATCAGCTCTCCTGGGCTCTCCTGTGGCGGTTGCAGTCAGCTGCCCGCTCAGCACTTGCCTGGAGCGCCCCTCTTCAGCCGCCTGTGCCTGTGCGTCCGTTGCTTCGGCCTGCTCTCCGGGCCCCTCTCCTCGTGTCCTCCCTGGTTGGCGCAGCAGCTCCCGTCCACTCCCAGCAGGCCTCGTCACGGTGGCAGGGCCCTCACTACCTTGTCTGGGTGGCGGCCAGCTGAGCCACACACATCCCTGGCAGCAGATGCACGGGGCCTGTCCTGGGGTCGTGGACACACCCCCAGCGGATCCCTGGATTGAGTTCTCCTACTGTGGGGACCCCGTGTTTGTACACGACTGTGGAGCAGACGAGCTCGGCGAGCTCGGTGCTGTGTCGCAGACAGGGCCGCCCCTGCGTGCCGGGCTCGGTCCTGGGTGCCTTCGACAGCGCGCCTTGGCTGCTGGACAGATTCCTGGCGCAGCTGGACAGTTACCTGACCTCCCGCTTCGAGCACCACTGGGACAACCTCAGGCGCCTAACAGGCTGAGCCTGAGTGTGGGCAGCCCCCTGCCTCCATGGGGACTGGGTACAATCATGGGCTTTATCCCCAGGATCTTGAGGAGGTTATTCAAGCCCCAGACGGCCCTGCTGAGTGCCATGCAGCAGTGCCCTGGGCTCTGCCTCCAGCCTTGAGCCGGCCACCGGTGGCCCCACGGCTGCCCGTGGTGAGAGTGCTCACCTAGGTTCTCAGAGGCCCGGCACGCAACACGGGCACTCCGCCCAGGCCTGGCCCCAGTGCTCTGGGCTTTCTGCTGTTCCTAGTTCAACTCCACATCCAGAAATGCTCTGAGCAGCCGCTGGCGACAGAGGGCACCCCAGGCCCATGGGGCCCCCTGCCTCGTCCAGCTCTGCACACAGTCCTGGTCCTACAGGGCCAGCCGCCCCCCAGCCAGGGCAGGTGCCCCCAAAGCTGCCCCTCCACATACGGGACTGGCCAAGCCCCTGCCCAGAGAACAGGTCCCTCTCGCCCAGGGTGTCCAGCATTCACCCTTAGGTTCCCCCCGGGGCAGTGGACACTGCCAAGACCCCAGAAGAGCCACCGTTCCGACCCTGCCCCCATCTGTGGCCCCATCGGAGCACGGGCTGTGCAGGTATGGTGGTGACCCGGGTGAAGCGGCCTGCATGCCCCCGTCACGGCGGGGTGGCCCCGCTGGACACTAGGTGTGGCTCCGGGTGGTGCCTGGGCCCAGCCCCGCTGCTGGGCGGAAGGTACGTGTGTTCGGGGTGGCTGGGCACAGGGAGCTCCCCGTGAGCCCCACGCCCTCCCCAGGGGGAGCTGCAGCGGCGTGGTGGTCTCTGCCTTGTGCCCCTCATCCTCCAAGCCCCCTGTGGCCCCCAGAGCTTGGGGGGGGCACTGCCAGCAAGTGGACCGAGGTCCCAGGATCATCCCCGTCGGACGTCCGTGTGGGCTGGTCCCCACCCCTTCCATGCTGGGATGCCCGGGCCTGCGTCCCCACCCTCTGGGCTCCTGCGTGGCTGTGGCATCTGCTCTCGCTGCCGCCCCAGGCTTTGCCCCGTGCGCCCATCCTCGGGGCAGGAAGTTAAGGCCGCCTGGAGGAAGCGGCTGTTTTCAGTCTTGGGTCAGAGTGGGAGGGCCTTGGTGAGGAAGGGTGCCCCCGGGGCTCATAGCCGCTAGCCTGCCGGTTGGGCACCTCCCAGGTCCAGTCTCATCAGGGCCGCGCTGCCCTCCCCAGCCGTCCCGCCCACTGCACGGCTGCCTCAGCCCGCACACCTCATGCTGTGACGGCCACGTCCCCAGCAGACGGCGAGCCCTGCGACGGGGCCTCCAGCAGTCGGCCTGGTGTCCCCGGCACACGGGCAGGGCCATTAAACGTGCACGGGGTCCATGGCCAAGCGTGAGTCATGTCTATGGTGGGAGGGGCCGGGGCCGGCCGCGAGTACCTGGCCGGTGTCGCAAGTGAGTCTCCTGCCTGGGCCATGGGCATTGCGGGGTCTGGCTGAAGGAGTTGGGGCTGAAGCAGGGGGCGGGGGGCCTCAGGGGAGCAGTGTGGCCCCAAGGACCAGCTTCCAGGCTGGCGGTGAGGGGAGGAGTGGGCCCCAGACCAGGGCTGTGAGGCTCGGGGCCGGGCCATAGTGACCAATCCTCTGCTCAGGGCCGGGGCAGGGGTCCTGGTGCTGCGCGCTGAGGCACCTCGGGCCAGTCAGCAGAGGGGCAGGCACACCGGCTCCCATGGGTGGCTCGGCCTGTGCTTCAGGACCCTGTGGGTCTTAGAGTTCTGGAGAAGGCGGAAGATCAGTCGAAACCTAAGTGCGGCTGAGAAGTCATTCTAGAAAAAACGAATAACCAGCTGGTAAAACGTTTTAAGTAAAATAGACATTATTGGCATTATTTCACTCTCTACCATGCTGGAAGAGCCTCTGGGTCCACGCGCGTTATTTCATGTCACAGACACCTTGTGAGTAGAACAGTTTCGAGTCTGGAAGCAGGGGGAGGCTGCAGTTCAGTCCCTCAGTCGTGTCCAACTCTTGTGACCCCCTGGACTGCGCCCCCCAGGCTCCTCTGTCCGTGGGATTTCCCAGGCAGCAGTACTGGAGTGGGTTGCCACTTCCAGCATTTCCTGCTCCAGGGAACCTTCCTGACATGGGGGTTGAACCCACGTCCCCTGCATTGCGGGTGGATTCTTTACCACCGAGCCCCCATGAAGGCTGGCGGGAGGAGGCGGATACAGCAAAGCAAGCATGCAGGTGGGAAGTGAGTGCCGTCTCATCTCTGATCTGATGGAGGGGTCTGGATGTTCCTGCCCCTCCTGGTGGCACTGCGGCCCCAGTGGGACTGCATCCGTCCAGCCTGGTCAGCCAGGGCCTGGCCTGCTGTGGGTTGGGAGGGCAGGAGGGCACTGACCTGGCCTTTCTGTTAGGTGTGGACTTGGGGGCGCGGCTGACCTGTCGACACCAACGTGGATTGCTTGGTCTTGCATCCTAGCAGTCTCGGGTTGCCGGCATGAGTGTCCCTCCAACATCACCCCGTGTGCCGAACTCCTCAGCCCCAGGCAGCGGTGTGAGGACGTCACCCTAACCCCCAGTGTGGACGCTCTTCCTCCACGTGACTCAGGCCGCCTGGCCTCGGCAGCCCCTCCCCACCCTCCCGGTCCTGTCTCCCCGTCTCCGGCCCGCCCCTCCCTGCGCACCTGCGCATCTGAGTGGCGCCGGACTGGCCAGCAGCGGGGGTGAGCCCACACCTGCCCATACAGGAGCAGCCTGCTCGGGCCGCCTGCTGGCTGCCAAGGAGCCCTAAGTGGGTGCGCCCTTTACCCCCACGGGTGTGGACCCCTCCAAGTTACCTGGAGCTTCCTGCTGCCAGCCCGCGGGGATCAGCCGCATCCTAGGCCCTGCAGAGCACCACCGGGCACCGTGGTCAGCCCTGGGTTGCTGGGCCCTGGGGAGCAGACCTCCTGGTGGGAGTGGGGCCCCCAGGCCTGCGCCCGGGAACAGGCCCACATCCTGGGCAACGGGGGGCTTTTCCACACCCGCGCTGGGGATAGGCAGGCCAGCGGCCGGTGGCTGGCTGGGGTCCCACCCTGCCCGTAAGTGCCGGCAGCCGGCCAAGCACACCCACATGGCCTGCCTTCCTGCCACGTCCGACTCCTGGGCTAGCGACCCCTCACCCTGGCATTGCCTCCTTGCCCATCCCGCCATCCCAAGGGGTCTGATGGGTGGCTGCGTGCCCATGGCTGTAGGTCAGCCCCTGCGGCTCGTTTGGGTGAGACCAGGCCACGGAGGTACTCGGGGAGCAGGCCATGCTAAGGCGGGTTGCTGGGCAGGGCCGTCGGGCTGCCCCTGACTGCCCTCCCCACGCATGGCCACACTAGGCCCGGAGGCGGGGGTGACGGGTCAGGGACAGGGTGCAGGTTGGGGTCCCTGGGTACCGGGTTCCTGCCCCCACCCTGGGCTCCGAAGCCGCCTGGGGTGCTGGCCTGGCCCCCACCCCCTCGCGGCCCCGAGCTGCCTGCCCAAGCCCCTCCCAGGTCTGCATCTTTGAAGCCACAGATACTGACAGAGGATCCAGTGAATCCAAGGTCGCCCGGCGGGTGTTGACAGACAGCCGGCCACGATACTATTTCTGATTTAATAACCAAATGGGGGCCGGCCCTCAGTAATAATTAGGGCTAATTACTGAGGAGGTGTTGACAGACCGGCTGAGAGGAAACAAACCACCTTTATCCCGGGCTTAGAGTCGGGTTTCGCGGCGCTATCTGCCCTCCGAAAGGAGACGCTTCAATCACTCACCGAGGCTTCAAAGGGGCAGGGGCCCAGCAGGGCGGGCACGGGAGGGCTGTGACGCGCGCCTTTGACTCCGTGGCCAGCCGCTGTCCCAGAGACACTCCTTTGTGCAGTTGGGGTCCCAGGCAGACCCGCCGTTGCACCACCTGGGCCAGGGCTCCATGGGTGCGGCGGGCCTCCCGGGCGGGCAGGGAGGCTGGCGCGTGTCCTAGGCCTAGGGAGCAAGCTGCAGGGAATGGGCCGGGCTCTGTCCTGGACCCTGGACCAAGGCTTCCCTGCAGCATCATAGGCAGGCCCGGCCTCCTGGCGGCGCAGGGCTGGGCCGCCCCCACCAGCGAGCCAGTACTGTGGACAGGACCCTCACCCATGGGCCTCAGCAACAGGACCGCCGTGCCGTGTCACAGGCTCCCCCAGACCTCCCCGTGGCTCCGAGCTGGGGGAGTGGCGGGCAGACCCCCTGTCCAGCCAGGAGGCTGTCCAGTGATGGCCCAGGCCTCCAGGGGTGTAATGCAACTTCCGGGGGCCAGTCCTGGGTTTGGGCCTTGCCGTGGTCAGGGCTGATCAGGGCGGTGGAGGACGATGGCCTGTCCAGGTGCAGCCCAGGAGGCTCAGAGGGAAGTGTCTCAGTTTTTCCCGCCTGCAGGACCACAGGGCATTCCTTAGGGCATGCCCACTGGCGGGGCCATGCCGCGTGAGGGAGGCCTCTCACTCCCCAACTCCCCTCTGCTCCAGGAGGAGCTGAGAGCGTGCTGACGAAGGTTCCCAGGCAGCTGCTTAGCTGAGTGCGGACCACCTTCTGTGGGGGCCGCTATTGATGGGTCTAAGTCTCAGTTCAGTTAAGTCGCTCAGTCGTGTCTGACTCTTTGTGACCCCAAGGACTGCAGCACACCAGGCCTCCTTGTCCATCACTAACTCCTGGAGTCCACCCAAACCCATGTCCGTTGAGTCGGTGATGCCATCCAACCACCTCATCCTCTGTCGTCCCCTTCTCCTCCCACCTTCCATGTTTCCCAGCATCAGGGTCTTTTCAAATGAGTCAGCTCTTTGCATCAGGTGCCTGAAGTGTTGGAGTTTGAACTTCAGCATTACTCCTTCCAGTGAATATTCAGGACTGATTTCCTTTAGGATGGACTGGTTGGATCTCCTTGCAGTCCAAGGGACTCTCAAGAGTCTTCACCAACACTACAGTTCAAAAAGCATCAATTCTTCAGCCTTCAGCTTTCTTTATAGTCCAACTCTCACATC